CCGGAAGAAAATATGTATATATATATATATATATGTGTGTGATACACCTCTCTCTCTCTCTCTCTCTCTCTCTCTCTCTCTCTCTCGCTCTTCTAGGGCATAGAGCAGAAGCAAGAGTAGAGCACAGTTCTGCCTCGAGGTGATTCGGGCAGACCCTTAGGGGGGTAGGGGGAGGGGGGTAGGGGGCCTCAATACCCATAATAATGAGGACCGAAAAACCCCATTTAAAGGGTCCCTATGATTGATGTCGACCCCGGCTAGATAGCACCACTTCCCTTCAAGGAGAGTGAATTTCCGATTCCTGCTAAACCTCTTCTCAAGCGTGGCAGGGGCCAGCATTTACCGAATCCACTCATGGCAATGGAGTCCCGTGGATTTAGAGTTTAGGTTTTGGGGTTTGCACACCCCACAGAGCTGCGTTAATGCACGAAATAGCTCGATTCCAGGATCAGGTATGGACATAACGAGATGACGTGAAGCATTGATCCATCCTATGTCCACCTGCCGAACCCTAAGGGTCCATGTACCCAAATAGTATAGGCATTGGCCTTAAAGTAGTCTCTATATACGTACTCTGGGGCCAAATTATATACTATGTGGGTACACGGACCCATAGGGCAACTTATCTCTGCATTGAAGGCGAACGCTTGAATCATAGACCATCTCGTCAGCCTCCTCGGCGACTGAGCAGAAACCAGCTCCTCTCGGATACGGATTCGCTTGCTCAGGGTTTAGGGAAGGTTGCGAGTAGATTTAAGGTTTTGAACTGCGAGTTCAAACTCAAACTCAGGATATAAGGACATCTAGGGTTCATGGGGTGACATCGAGGATTCAGATTCCTTGAAGCTTTAGGTCTGTATGCTAGGCTTCCTTGAACTGACCTACTTGTCGGGTATCATGGGGAACTACAGGTTAACCCTTTTGGTTATATAGGGATTATATAGGGATTAAAAAAAAAAAAAAAGGGTTAACGGTTACCTACTCTACTACTAGGCTTACTTAGGGCGAAGCGATTCTCAGGTTGTGGGGTTTCAGCATTGCGACCCTAAACCCTAAACCGCAGAGGAGCGAGACTGTCTCGGACCCCCACAGCCCAATAGGAACTACCCCACCGGAGGTACTAACCCGCCGGCCCGCCCCCAAATCAGGAACAGACGAACCCCTCAAATCATAAGACATGCCTTCCTTCCAAATAGTTCTACCTAGACCCCCAAAATTTCAAAAAGTAGGTAAAATAATGGCCCAAAACCTATAAAAGGCTATTATACATACTGTTGGGGTCCAGGTAAAGATCACTGTTGGAATGCAATGACGGCTAAACTCCGCGTTCAATCCCAATAGATGAGCAGGGATCTCCTGTGTTGGTTCTTGAACCCAATGTGACCGGTACCCTGAATAACAGGGTTTAGGGTTTAGGGTTTAACCTACCTTTTGAGGGTTCCTTACACCTGGACCGCAACAATATGTAGAATAATAGCCTTTTGCAGGTTTTGGGCCATTATTTTAACTACTTTTGGGGGGTCTAGGTTATGATTTCGTTATATAAGTCCTTAAACATGTAGGTTCTTCGGGGTTCAGGTAGACTCTGAAATAAGCCCAAATTGTCCGAGGTACTGTTATGGGGGATACTCCCCCAAATCATAGAAGTAATTCCTAGATAATATCGAAACCCTATATACAGTAGAAGCCCAAAAGCTGGACACTTAATAGCCTCAACTGGCTTACGATACATTCTACTTCATAGGTCGCTTGGGCCCTGAAAAAAGCGGATGACAATGTGTCCCGGCATCCTAGGGCCAAAGGCCAGAACACCAAATCGCAGAACCCTTGGCCCACGAGGTGTCCCTCAACTCCAGAGCCCGAGGAAGAACATAAAACACACACACACACACATCATGGGTTCAGCCATTGTTTTTGAAGTTGGAACAGAAACTGACATGGAAAAACAAAAGCAAGATATATCTATGAAACAATAAACCCAAGCCCCAAACGATACCCCCTTTAACCATAATAAAAATATGATGGTTAATAGTTATTCTCTTGGGTTTCATATGAACAAAAGTACATTTTAATTCCTAAGGATACTCTAGCAAACTCCCAGCATCTGAACCAAACATCTGAAACATCACACATGTTCTTTCGCCCCGCAGGAAAGTGCTAGCCCGCTTCAGTCGGTGCTCAACCTGGCTTGACTCTACGGAGAGGGGAGCACAGAAACTTTATGAAACTTGGGAATTCCAAAGTTCAGGTTCCGGGTGTGGAGTGTAGGGTTCAGGAATACTGAGGTGTAGGACCTAGGACTAAGGGGTCTAGGACTACAGACTCTGGATTCGCCCCATTCATGTTGCTGGTGTGGCATCTCACCTGAATTCCCTGCGTCTGTCGGTCGCAATCAACTCGAAGGGTCCATGTTAAAGTAACCGCAATAGACTATAGAGGTACTTACGGCCAAAGTATGACTATTTGGGCACATAGGCCCTGAGGGCAATCATTAGCATAGGGCTTGGTTGCGTTTCGCAGCTCCCTACGCCCTATTTTTATCAACCGCCCTAAACCCTAAACCCTACACCCTACAGCCCTAAACCCTAAACCCCTAAAGCCATAAACCCTAAATACATCGGGACGGGGTCTGACAACTCTTACTGGCAAGGCCAACCCTGACAGTTCCTGTGGGTAGCTTTGCATCGGTGGTTCCATGATAATGATAGTGATCCATCTCTCTCCCTTCCCTGTCCGTTTGCCCAACATACAAGCACAACTAGAAACTGTCTTTACATACACACAAACATATATACTTACTTAAATATAGAAAGACACAAAGAAAGAACGAACGAAAGAAATAACTAACGAACGAGAGAGAGAGAGAGAGAGAGATAACATACGTTTAAGCAAACAACTAGTGATCCAACAGACTCGCGCATGCCTAAACAGGCACACATACATACATACATACATAAATACATACATACATACGTACATACATATGTATATGTATATGTATGTGCTTGCGTGTGTCTATATATGTATGTATGCAACACACCAGCTGTAAGTATGTGGACTTTGCGTATGGTAATCGAGAGCAGGCGAAGATGCACATTGGTCCGCCCATAGACACCAGATTCCGAGAAGGTAGCAAGGGTGAAGAGCATGCCAGATCCCAAGCACATTTTCTGGCTTTCTGCGTTGCAGAGAGTGAAGGCACTGATAGCGATTAAACGGACCCATTTTGAACATAGCTGTGCATTCCCGAGCAGTTATCTTAAACGGAAGGCGATAGTTCTACCACAGTATACCACTGTACATGTACTACATGTAGCTATGATCGATGTACTAAAATATGCTACATAGCTCCAAAGGCGCAGCATGTTCTGACACGGCCCACGGGAATTTCAGGCTTAGCCTGTGGCAAGTTGGGGATTTCCGAAAATAGGGGACCCCAATATAGTACCCTAAACAATAGGATCCTTATTATAAGGACCCCCCCCCCCAAAATAAGGTACCCCCCCCCGAATTTTCGGAAACCCCCAGTTGGGGAATCGGCAGACCAACGGAGACAGCAGAATGGCAGCTTCGGGCGCCCAGTCTCGGGAGGCCAAAAGATCCATACTTACAGCATCGAGGTGTACTTGGAGGGTCGGGGGACTTAGTAACTGGTTATTTTGGGGACTTATAAGTACCATAACCCCAATTAGGGTCCCTTTTAGGGTACTTATAAGTCTACTTACTAACTACTTACTAAGTCCCCCGACCGCCCAAGTAGGGTTTAGGGTTTATAAGGTCGATAGGGTTTATGGGGTTTATAGGGTTTAGGGTTGGGCACGGCCCCCATACAGTAACAGTCTATACTAGGGCTATCATTAAGGGCCGTATATATCTATATTATGAATATTACCCAACTGTTAATGAGTGGGGGCCGTACCCAAGTTTAGGGTAAGGTTAGAAAATGGGAGTGTTGAACCTGCCGCCGGAAAATTAGGAACCCATGGAAGCAGGCAGTGCTGTCTCGTGTGTCACAAAAGTCATTCCCCGGAAATACCTATTAAAGCAGCTCTCCGCAGTGTAGAGTTTAGGGCCTACAGTAGGTCTTACAGATTCGGGTTTAGGATTTACGGCATGGGGCTAAAATGGCCCAGGGCGTTTGGTAAGGTTACGATAGGGGCCTATAACAACTAGAATAGGGTTTGGAGTATACTCATTTAACAAGGAATCCTAACCTACTCACAATTATTCATGCTGCTATCTTAAGGTGCACCATAGCCTTCAGGAAGGCATGCTGAAGTCTCTAGGTGTGTAGTCCGCTGGGAGCTGCGCCTGGAAAGGAATCGAACCTTACTTGCAGTCTCCATTGTAGTTCGGTTAAGGAATCAGATACGGTAGGGTTATAGGATCCTGCTCATACAACTTCCCCAGGGCTCCAGTTACCCAACTAATGGGCTAAATACTGCATGGGGTACATATAATGGTTAGCTATTTTGAGTAACCGGAGCACTAGATAAACCCTCAACCCTAAACCCTAAACCCTAAACCGATAAACCCCCAAAGCAAGGAAACTACGATGGAGACGATAGGTTCTCTCCTCAGGGTATCCCTCAGGGTCCAAGTTCTCAAGAAGTAAAACGGGCGGCCCTAACAATGAGAATAGGGTTTTGAACATATTACATACTGCGATGAAGGAACCGGAAGCAAAGTATGATTAATGATTCATGCCCGTTATAATGTACTTAGCACGGCGCTGCTAGTGGGAATTGGGGTGTTTAGGGCTTAGGGTGATTTGGACCCAATAGAAGCTAAGAGTGGACTGTTCCCGAAGATTTCAATGAGTCAAGGGCACAGGGCTGCAACGTCTGGGTTCATGTTATCCGTGGGGGTCAAGCGCCTACTAGTCATGCACCCGCCAAAATACTACCCTACACCCTAAACCCTTAAACCCTAAACCCTAAACCCCTAGTCATTCGTGTTATGGTTTATTGCAGCTACCCCATTGCGTGGCACCTGGACCCTCAGGGTGATGTAGTTCGTAGTCCTCTTTGAGGACGTCGTTGTTCTGACAAGGTGTCTCGGTAGCCTGAAGTTGTGTGGTTCATACCGGCCAGAGTGTTCCAGGCTCAAATGTACCGGAATTAATGGAGGGTTTCAGGAGTATAGTAAACCCTCAACCTTAAAGCCTTACATCAAAGGTATTTCTCAGATTCTGAGAATGAAGCCAAAAGTGAGTGCGGGAAGACAGTGAAGTGCCCTGAAGACACCCTAGAAGCATAAGCCGAAAACTCAACCTTCGCAAATTCACAAAATCGGGATGTGTTTCAAGAGCCACAGTCTGCAGTATTGCGGCTTTAGGCTGTCTTTCGGGATTAGGCCATAGGGTTCTAGTCAACTGAGACGGTCAACTGTAACCCCAAATCCCAATTTCCAAAACAGCCAAGTCGTGAGCTCCAATACACACACTTTCTCCCTAACGACAGCTTAGACACCCCGTTGAAATTAGTCCCCTTTGTTCGGATAGCCTTTTGCCCATCCATGGTTCGGACCCTTAACCAGGAGCGAAGGCCACCAAGAAAAAGGACCTACGTTGTCGGATTTAGGAAAAAATGGTCAGACGAATACTACGGCAGGGGTTGGGCTCAGGCGTTGTAGTGGTTAGGGTTTACGGGTTCTGAGGTTGTGGGGCTTTAAAGCCTAGGGTGAAGAGATGCGGTTGGGGGCTGAGAGGAACGATAGCCCCAAACCCTACAACATACTAGGTCGTGGCAACGGATACAACGCATCCTACAGAAGAGGATCCTACGCCCCTGAACCCAAAGCTTGCGGGTTTTGGGTCTTAGGCGTTGACGATTGTGGGGTTTAGTAGGAGTTTCCTAAACTCCCCAAAGTAGGTCAAATAATGGCCCAATACCTGTGAAAGGCCATTATTCTGCATACTTTGGGGTTCCAGGTTAGGCTTTTAGCAGTTTGGAGGTTCAGGGTTTCAGGTTCAGGGTCCGTTTAGGGTTTAGGGTTGCAGGCCGGGTTCCGGGCTCTGGCGATGCGTATAGGGGCCGTGATGATTAGAACAATGTTTTTTTTGTGGTTTAGGGTTTAGTTTATAGGGTTTCGGGTTTAGGTGACTATGAATGTTATGAGGAAGCCCCGAAATAGAATTATAGCAGGGTTGGATGACTTCTGAACCCCTCCTAAAAGTGAAAAACTTTTTGCCTCCTTATTGTAGTTCATATAGACACGCAAAAAGTTAAAGTCCTAAGAGCCAACCAGAAGAAGGCCAAGGTCGAGTTGGCTGATGTTGGCTGTTTGTCTAGGCCTAAGAGTAACCTAGGAATAACAAGGGTGCCCCTTTTTTGGGGTTAAAGAGGGTTATAAGAGAACCTAAACCCTAAAAAAGGGAATAAGGGCCTACTCTGGGTCCTAGTTGTGGGTATGATAATTGGAAAAGACAGTTGGGAGTTTCCGAGTATATTATGCTGTAATTATAATAAGGTCACTAACTATAACTATAGTAAGGAAGCCCCGAAACAGTATTGTTAGGCCCCAAAAGTAGGGTTGGCTGTTTGTTCTGAAACTCAAACAGGCTTCCGGAGCTTCTCGGCAAAGCAAGGCTAATTCTGCAGAGGCGGAAGGCGTCGTGGGATATCGATCGCAGAGGGCTTTTACAAGCTGAAACCCTAAGACTCTGAGGACTCATATCTCTTGAGGCTTTTGGGCCTAAGACTTTCAGGACTCATATCTCTCTCAAGGCTTTTGGGCCTAAGGCTCTAAGGAGTCATATTTCTTAAGGCTTTTGGGCCTGAAGGCCACAGTTTATAGGGCTTTTGGGTTAGGGTCTGACGGTCTAGGCTTCGATGTTGTCGGAGAGCTTCAGGGATGGAGATCACACGGCTGAGCTGAACTTTCGATCTTCTCTGAGCTTAGGGCTTGGAAGGTTCGGATTCTTGAGATGTGGGCTACCTGATAGTGACTGTGTTCCGAAGGATTCAAAGTACTTCGATACGAGCGTTCTAGGTGCCAGCAACCATTCTGTTAGAGTCAGGACTGCATGCACGCCCTGTTGTGAGGTCTACTCCTGTAGCCCAAGAGAGCTGCCCCCGTTCCTGAGTAGCCCCTTGATAGTAAGGGTACCCTTTTCCTCCTATGGGATTTTAAGGGAGACCAACACGAAAAACAAACAAAAGGGTACTTATCATGATGAACGTTTTTTTAGCTCTTAAACAGGGGCTTGGGGTGTAGTTGTTGAAATATTGAAATGCGTAGCCGGATGGTGTACCAATTATTGAGGCAGCTGTGTTAGATTGGAAATCTAACACACCAGCAAAGGCTTAGTTGTCAGAGTAATTGAAGGACATGTGGCCTTAGTCACGAAGCTTGAAAAACCTACAAGCCACAGTTCTAGAACTCGTTTTGCTAGCGATTTAGGATGGTTTAGGGCTGCATGTATACGGGAAATCCCTATGGACCCGAACCCGGACATCTGAAATCCGCAATCGAGATCTCTGGCGTTGATGCCCTTCCAAGGAAATTGGTGACGATCGTGCTGGGCGGCAAAGGAAGGACAGGCTGCCCCAAGCAGGGGTTTCTATTTGGCTTTAGGGCTTATACGGTTTACGGGTTTAGGGTAGAGTGTTTAGGGGTTGAGGGTTCAGGGGTTTAGGGTTTAGGGTTTCTGTTTACATAAAGGGTCATGGGACTTAGTAACTAGGGTTATACTTAAGGTAACTATACTTATAACTTATAACCACTTATAACCCCATTCAGGTACTTATAACCTCACTTACTAGGTCCCATGATCCTCCAAGTAGGGTTTAGGGTTTATACGGTTTAGGGGTTTCGGGTAGAGGGTCCAAAAAGGTCCTAGGTACTGTTATGGGGAATTGGGGAATACTTTCCCAAATCATAATAGTCATTCCTGATATAGAAACCCTACATCCTGCCTACACCCTACTGTACAGGTACTTTGGACCCTTTGGGGGTTTAGGGGTTTAGGAGTTTTGTCTGGTTTCGGATCCAGAGCTCCATATAATTGCAAGGCGCGACTGGACGTCTCCTATTTCGGGTTGAAAAGACTGAAACGTATGGTAGCCTTATTTCTGTTTCTAGTCAGTAAGTCACGCGGTTCCTTAAGGAGGGCTTCGGCCTTGGATTTAGAAGATTATGCTTTAAGTTTAAGGCGTGGGATTTAGGGTCTGGTGCTTCAGGATTAGGTTGTTCCTGCACGTACCTACTTCCTAGCTACCCATATCGAGCCCCTATCCAACAAAACATCGAAACACCCAGCCACATCCCTAGCCACCATTATGACTTAGAAGCTGCCCCCACCCTGTAATAGTGACTATAAAGATTATATTAGGCCCTATTATATTCCAAAAATACCACTATTACAGGTTGCGGGCCCCCTCTAAATTATGACGATCCAAACCCGAAACACCCCTTTTCCCCCTTCGTAGGTCGTGGGCTCGGCCCGGGCGGGAGGGGGTGGCTTTGTTTTGTTTTGGGTGCCCTTCGTTTGAAAACGTGCCCTTTCGTCTCTCTCGTTGTTCTCTCCTCTCTCGCCTCTCCCTGTTTTATTTTGTCATTTGCATGACACAGGTGCAGAAGGCAGCTGCGCTCTCGCATGGTAGTTGCTGCGAGTTTTTTGGTGTTCTTTCATTGCGGGATTCTTGGAGGAATCGACGCGTGTGCGATGAGGTGCTGCTTGGTAATTTCGGTTTTTTGCGGTTTGTGTTCGGATGTAGTGCGACTCGTGCATGGCCTCTCCAGGGCGGCTCGAGCGGTGTGAAAGGTTGTAGTGTTTTTTTTGGTCTGTTGCTAGCCTGTAGGCCATGGATGACGCACAGAAACGTGTCAATGCAGTCTTCCGAGTTTTCCTCGAAGACTTGGAAGAGGATGCATACTTGAGGCAGAGTTCTAAGTATGACGATGGGGTGTCACCAGGGTCTGTCAGCCCCCGCAGCTCAGCTGGGACTCGCTCTTTCTGCGCTAACTCCCCGCGAACTACAGTCTCGAGGTCCCGATCCCCTTTGCCGCGTAATAGGCTGCGCTACAACGTGGGCGAGGATGACTTTGATGCCAGAGTAACTCGTGCTCTGCAACCTAAGCTGCTAGCGCTCGGGCAAGAGCTTCGCTTGGAGTTCCAAGGGATGCTTCGGAGTGCCTTGGCTGAGGCTTGTGGCACTCTGTCCCAGCCAAAGTCCGTAGGGCCAGCTCTGTCAGCTCCAGCATGCGATGGCGCCCCCGCTGGCCCAAGTGCTGGTGAGAGCGAAGCTCGGGAAGTTCATGACTTGCAGGTCTTGAAACTGGATAGTGAGATTTTGAAGGCCCTTGATAACTTCTCATCGAAGATCAGCAGCTTGCCTCCGGCCCCTCGTGCGAATGTGACGGCAGTGTTTCACCCCAGCCCACCGGTGAAGAGCTCCCAGGAACTTAATAGCAGGGTCTCGGCGCTTGGCGTTGTGATCCAGGGTGCTCTAGGCGTCCAGCTTGGAGGAAAATACCCTTATGGTGTGGTCGGAGGCCAAAAGGGCCAACCCAGTGTGACAATCCATTTAACTGCTTCGACCAAGGTGACAGCGCAAGTCCACAGTCGCTTGTGCCAAGTTGTATTCAAAGGCCGCAGGTCTGTATTCACTATGGAACTTATGCGAAAGGTAGTTCCGTTTTTTGGGCCTGTTGTTAGCTTGATGAGTGGGGCATCTGATAGTTGAGCCCTGCATCGCTGCTGCGGAGCGCCCTGTAGGGCAGCAATTAGCAGTGAGCTCCTTTAATTATGTCGTGGCTTGCCACGTGGACGTGCATGTTGACATGCGTGCTAAACCGCTATGCTGGCGATGCAAACGGTGCTTGAGTGCTCGCTTTGTCCGCCCGGCATGCTCTGCCCAATGGATGCGCCATTATAAGTGCTGTTATAAGGTTGCTTGTCTTTGGTGCCATGTGGATTGGCCTTTCGGCTGGAAGTGTGGAGTTTGGAGTCTGATGCTTTGGAGGGCCTCATGGCCTAGCGTTGGAGCTGCCGCGTTCGTGCCTTGGGTGGCCTTTCAGGCCGTGCCTTGGATTATTATTTAGGTTTTTGTTTTTTTTTTTAGTATTTTTGTGCCTTGGGTGGCCTTTCGGCCCGTGTCTTTGAGCCTTGGGTAGCCTTTTGGCTCGTCCTTGGGATCCGTGGCTCTTGCGGTACCGCTGGTGGCCTCTCGGTTGGCATTTTCGTGCCTTGGGCGGCCTTCCGGCCCGTGCCTTGGATTAGTATTTCGGTTTTTCTCGGCCTGTACCTTTGCGCCTTGGGTAGCCTTTCGGCTCGTCCTTGGGATCCTTGGCTCTTGCGGTGCAGCTGGTGGCCTTTCGGCCCGTGCCTTGGATTATTATTTTTTTTTTTTTTGTGCCTTGGGTGGCCTCGCGGCCCGTGCTTTCGTGCCTTGGGTGGCCTTTAGGCTCGTCCTTGGGATCCTTGGCCGTTGCGGTGCAGCTGGTGGCCTTCCAGTTGGCACTTTCGTGCCTTGGGTGGCCTTTCGGCCCGTGCCTTGGAGTGTTATTTCGTTATTTATTATTATCTTTTTTTTTTTTGTCGTTTCGTGCCTTGGGTGGC